CAGCTACGGCTGAAATCGGAACAAGGGATCGGTTCGAGATTTGTGATTCAGCTGCCGTTCGACCTGCCTGGCGATGTGCCTGTGCCACCGGAAGGCGGTCAGAAGTCTGCAAAGTCGAACACTACCCCAAGCGTGGCTTCTGTCACAACGGCAGCTGTACCAGATAACGACGGCGAGATGATGCTCATCGATCGCGGCAGCAAGATATCGACGGTTGAGGAAGGTGGGACAGATGCTCTAGGTTCCGAGACGCGAAGCTTCGAAAGTATGAAGACAGCAGGTACGGGAGGAAGCAAGGCCAGTGGCCAGAGCTCTATGAGTGATGCAGATCGCTTGATCGACGCAATTCAGACGCCACTTTCTATTGGCGAAGCTGATATGAACCGACCGTCGACTACGCGACAGCAGTCTTGGGAATATTCACAGAGGCTGAGGTCTTCGGAGAGCCGCACTGCTGGAGTATCGGCTGCGAGGCGCAGAGGATCCCGTACCTCGCCTCGAAGCAACCCCAGCATCTCAAGCATGGAAGCCTCCAAGCCTCCAGAGGTTGGGTATGCGACAGTTACAGATGCGAAAACGCCCGTCAGAGCTGTCAAGGTGCCAGATGAGTACGTTGATGAGACATCCGTGCCACCTCAGTCACAGCAAAGCGACTCCTCACGATTTCTCTTCGAAGTCAATAGTCGCTCAAAGCTAGGCGGTGCATCGGAAGCTGGCACAATCGGTAGCACCGTCGGCACCGCGCCAAGCGTCGTCTCGGCTTTCGACGAGACGAAGCTCCAAGTTTTGATCGCGGAAGATGACCCTATCAATTCGAGAATTCTGCGAAAGCGCTTGGAGAAATCTGGCCACCAGGTTTCCCATGCTGTCAACGGCGAGGATTGCGCTACTGTCTACAAAGAGAGGCCTGAAACCTTCGATGTGGTGTTAATGGACATGCAGGTATGCCGTACTAATCGCTCAATGCTTGTGTGATACCGACTGACGCCTGAACTCCCTAGATGCCGATTGTAGATGGCCTCACAAGTACAAAGATGATACGAGCCCACGAAAAGTCCAGCGACCATGGTGGGCACTCAGCGATCGCAACTCACAACGGCCGTATTCCAGTATTTGCAGTTTCTGCATCTCTCATTGAACGAGAGAAAGACAAATACATCGATGCCGGATTTGATGGGTGGATTCTCAAGCCTATTGATTTCAAGCGACTCAACACGCTTCTCTTGGGAATTGTGGACGATGAAGTGCGCGCATCATGCCTATATGCACCTGGACAATGGGAGAAGGGCGGCTGGTTTAACACTAGGAACACTGAGGAGAGAAAGGACGATAACATACCAACACCTACAGTGTCCCCGGCGCCTGTAGGCACGGACACGTCTGCGGAGACCACAACAGATGGAAACACAGATCCATCGCCAGAGGTGGAGGTTTCCAGCTAAACTCATCAGAGTTTGGCTGGCAGCCGGCACTGATAGTCGACACCGGCAAAAGCGCAGCAGGGCCCCTCCTACGACTTTTTGGGAAGACATTGTAAACTGATATCGGCGGTGACAACATCAGCTACTGCTACCTGTACAACGGCAAGATCTTGACGAATCTTGCTGTTTAAGATGCTTTGCAAAGCTGGCATTCAGCCGAGCAGCGAGGAAGGATGATGTCAAAGAAGACATCAGCGACACTACCATGACGGCTCTTGGCGAATATGGAGTTCATGGGTGACTCAAAGGAACGGGTTCAAAACAGGACACAAGCTTGTTGAAATATGATGAAAATAGATTTCAGGGGAAAACGGCAATGATACCATGGCAAAAGCATACGGATTGCATGGGGAAGGTTACCCAGGGGGGCTGACTGTCTTAGAAGACTCAGCACTGGGCGGCGTTTTCGAGTTTGCGCAGTGTACATGACATATCACGGTATTAAACGAACTACACCATTTACAAGTCTCATTTGCGAGGCATACTTTCGTCTGTAACTGGAAATCGCCATCTGACGGTTCCGACTACTAAATATGAACCCGAGAACAGAGACCGCTCTTGGACCGCACCTGAATCGGGTACTCTTCATGATGCGCGCTGCTGTACATATAGAGATAAACACTGAAGCATCGGTCATGCAACACCGGCACGTGGCAGGCGACCGTCTGTCGCGACGGCGATGACGCGGAAACCAATCAACAGAAGGATTGGAGACCCTGGACATACCTGATCTAGGGATTCACATATGGCCAACATCCGTCACAGCGAGCCGATCCCGATGTTGTACAGATGTCCTTCAGGCGTTCAGTATTTGAAAATCTGATTTGCATGCTGCGGTGACATTCAAACTCGCTTGGCACGTTGAGGTTTTGTCAGATTCGTCACATGTATCAGATTTCCCGGCTTCACAGAAGCGATGATCCTCTAATGCCCCCGAGGGGGGTTGACTTGAGTCAAGCCTTCTGCCCAACTCAACTTTATGAGAACTCTGAATCTGTGATAGAACCGTACAGGCGACGATGGTATTATGTATGCCTTATAGTCTAGCAGAATGGTATGTTGATGGGAGAGAAAGAGCAGCTCTTTCAGTCATACACGGCGAGACATTTCCTCTACCCTCTTCCGTCCTTGATCAAAGGTGAGGTTTGGCTGCCGGGGACGGAACGCGAACTTCGAAGACACGACAAGCGACACATGTTGCACGGACTTGCGTCGAGACAGGACGAGACAAGAATGGACACGACAAGCAGTCAATCGTAGACGCCGGCCCACGACGGCCAAGGATCCCTCCCCGGGTACGGCAGCTGGGCAGGGTAGAGGCACCGGAGCCTGGCATGGGTGCGACTCGTGCTCTTCCACCCGTCTTTGCGTCTGTAGTTCATATTCTGCATGTCTATCAAAGGACACTCGTTGGACGAACTAGCCGGCGATTCGCACGGGGACACGCGGATTATACTCCAGTCACTTGCTCTACTTACCGTAGCCCTTCTTATCCCTTTGTTTCCTTTTCTTCGTTCGATAGAACATGGAAAGGGTGGTATTAGAGACGAGAGAGCAGATGGAAAATGAGAAACATTGGCATGCGGGGCGTGCCGGGCTCAGGTTGCATGACATGATGACTGAACGTCTGATTGCAGTAGCTTCCGAGGTGGCCCGCTCCCGCAACGAGGAGCATCGTACTCTGTGATTCGTTCTTTTCCGCATCTCCAGAGGTTTTAAAGCATGCCCTATTGAGTCCTCGCACGTGTCAAGCATAGTAATCAATGGAAGGGTGTATTGCTAGAACGTGTGGAGCAAGATTGAGTTCGAATGGGCGAAGCTGATATACCAGCATCAATCGCTTATAAATCTCGTCTTTCTTGTTTACTCGCGAGGTAAAAATTGGTAACAAAACCGGTGTCTAACTTATTCGTCTGGCAATCTTGTGACCGAACTTGTCCACAACTTGTCGGGAGAATCAAGTGCCGTCCTTGCGGGAGCGGGGAGATGAAAAAAGAGTTCAACAGGATGGGATAAACACAGGCAAATATGCAACTCCAAGATTTCGGATAGACATCAAAAGCCAAAAGCCAAGAAAACCCTGCGTAGATGACCGTCGTGGAACCGACTATTTCCTTTCAAGATGGTGGGATGATGGAAGGCAGAGCGAAGAGGACCGAGCGCGGTGGACCAACTCTACCCGGCTGGGCTTGTGCAAGATTCGCATCATGATTCGATGCGCAACCTGCGTCCGGAGTCATCGAGCAAGGTCCTCCGCTGTCATCGCAAGCCTTTCTCGACTGTCTGTGCATTCTTTCATTGTAAGCATGTACGATAAGTGTCCGGATCTCTCTTTCCTTGAACAAAGTTCCAACCTGTGTGGTCGTCCCTGTGGCTTATGCTGGCCGCCATTCTTACATCGGTTCATTATGTCTGTGTGTTGCAGCAAAGGCCAGTAGGTGATCTAGAAGAGCTGCTTCACAAAAGGATAGTGATGGGGTGGAAGATTCTGAAGACATCCGATCTTTGTATCCATGCCTGGCCTCTCTTGTCTCTTCCAGAGATAACTATAGTGCTATATATGGCAGTCTGTCTATATAGGTATTCGCTTCTTTGGTTCTCGCAACTTGGCTTTCTGCCATTTAAACTCTGGTCTTCCCTCGGGAAGTGTGTATAGCCCCGCTCCCTCCCTCCCTCCAATCTCGTAGTTCTCTCATTTGTTCATATTGGTCGACTTCAGTGATCAAAGGAATGCGGACGTGGATACGTCGTCTACTCATGAACTAGAATCTTGGTTCGGATCAGCCTGTTTCTGGGCCTGTGTGAACTCCTAGCAAACCCCTCTTTGTCGCCCCCTTTGCCACAAAGGCAGGGAATTGGAAGAGTCAGGAAATCTCCTATATTCTCTATACTGTGTTGTAGGTTTGCAACTCTGCGTGTGGAGCCTCACGCGATGGGGGTGGGTTAAGTTGACCCCAGGGAAGGGAACCCCCGTCAACCTGTTTTCCGCCTCCGTTTCCCCCATTGCTGCACATCGCGCGGCTACAAATCCGGCCGCGCACCAAAGGTTGTCATGCCTCCTTCCCCCAGGATCAGTTGCTCGGCGTTACAGGAGGCGTACTGTTGTAGAAGTGAATGACTCGATTACGATGGGCAGCGGTCATCTGCTGGGATGGGATGTGCTGGGCAGCTTAGACCCAAAGGCAATCCCTCGCGCAAACGCTGTTTAGAAAAGTCTAGGTATGCCCGTTCGTGTCGTCTTATTTCGTGAACACCCTCCCCCAGAATGGACTGAACTACCTCGTTTGCGTTGCTTGTTCCTGCTTCTTTTACTAATATCTCTCGAGTATCCCCGACAAACACTGAGACAATCTCCGACAACACCATCCTGCTCAACCTTCCTTTGGTTTTCCCTTCTCCTCCATCCCTCATCTGTACGGTACTCTTACACGGGCAGTGCCCGTCATTCAGTTCACTAGTCCTCAGCAGAAATCCGGCCTGGTTTAGCTATACTGCCTATTCTTCCCCGTCGACGCAACCATGGACACAGCGACCCCACTAGAAGTTTATCAAGATGATCGAAGGACCACAGTGGTCGCATCTGTGGTTTTCTGCATCCTGTTTGTGACGGCGATGGTTGGGTTGAGGATCTATACGAGGACAAGGGTTATCGTACTCTTCGGTATCGATGATATACTAGCTGTTGTGGCTCTGGTGAGTGAAAGTAACGATGTCTACCTCAATGTCGAGAAGCTGAGTCTGATTTGTTGTTCTAGTTGGCAACAACAGGTTGTGGCATCGCCATCGCACTCAGTAAGTCAGATACTCATGCAATCTTAGCGGAGGAAGATTAGCTGACGACTATAAAAGTGACCAAATATGGTCTTGGCAGACACATCGTCGTCCTCAAGCCAGCGGATATTGTAGAATACATGCACGTAAGTAAAGTCACACTCGCCTCATCACAGTATTGATGATGGCTCAGTTCCCTCGACTAACAATGCAACCCAAGATGTTCTACATATCCATCGTATTCTACAACATCGCCCTCCTCGCCATCAAACTCTCCTTCCTGTGCCAGTACTACCGTATAATGGCCGTACCTCGGATGCGTAGAATCTACGCAGTCGCCCTCCTCGTGGTCGGCGCCTGGTCAACCTCGCAGGTCTTCATCGCCGCGTTCCAATGCCTCCCAGTCGAAGGGTTCTGGGACAAGTCGGTGGCGTCGCACTGCATCCCCAATCAGCCGCAGTGGTACGTCAACGCAGCTGGAAACATCATCACCGACGTTGCCGTCTTTGCGCTGCCGTTGCCCATTTTCTGGCATCTCAGCCTGCCACGGAAACAGAAAGCGCTCCTCATGGGAATCTTCAGTCTTGGATTCTTGTAAGTCATCAACCTCGGGAGATCCTGTCTCACGCATGAAAAACCCTCGTTTGTCCGTTTTAGTAACACCAAATGCCAGCACCGTCGCCATTTCCATCGTACGCATCCAGTACCTCAGCACACCGGCAGACTTCACCTGGACCAACGTCGACGCCTCGCTCTGGTCCATCGGCGAAATCTCATCCGCCGTTACCTGCGCCTGTCTTCCGACGCTCCGCCCACTTCTGACAAAGATGTTCCCAGGTCTGATGAGCAGAGTCAACATCACCTCCCTCCACAGCAACCAGACCGACACGCGGCCGGGAACCCACCCGACGCGTCCGTATTCGAACCTCCCCAAGAGCTTTCCCCGGGACGCCGAAAAGGGGACCACGGCCTCGGGCGTATCCAGTGCGCGATCGAGCCACCTCAAGGACGACGGATCCTCCGTCACCCACGGATCGCCGTATCAGCACAACGCCCACGCCAACGAGTCGAGCGATACGATTTTCGGCCTGGCTAGCGTGCGCGGGGATTCCATCACACCCGTTAAGTCCAACTTCAGCCCCTTAAGCCCCAGGCCAGCATGGACTGCTTCTGCTTCCACAAAATCATATCCTGTCCGCAGAGACGGAACACCCTTTTGAAAGGGAAAGGAACTCTTTGAGACAGAGTGTCGAGGCACCATCGAGTCCTGGATGTGCGCTTCAGCGCTTTCAATGCGGGAACTGATTGAGTAATATCTCTGCGGAATCTAATCAGATCTTCTGCCAGTACCATCCCGATGTGGCGGCGAGAAGATCTGAGCTTGAAAATCAACGGGAGACGCAGGCGTCGTCCCTCGAGACTGGCGGTTACATCTGAAGAGTTGACTCTTATGTGGATGGGGTTTTGCGAACATAAACGCGGGCAACCGCTGCGGATGTATTAAATGGCGCTGGTTTGCTCACGCGTCCGAATAATGATTAACTAATGATATATTAAGTCTGATGTATAATGTCTTATGCTTCAAGTCTAAACGAGCTGCCTATGACAGCATAGTGTCGTCGACGCTCCAGTAATTGGGTATCTCAAAGCCGCAGTACGTAACGACGGTACATGTTGGCGACTGTTCTCATCGTCCAAACCGCCACCATGGCTTCTTCTCGGGCTCTTTGTAGCCCTCCTCTTGGATATTGTTCTTACCGACAATATTCAGGAATACCTGGTCTAAGGTGGTTGGCGAAACACTGAAATGATTGATACCCAGCGCCCCTTTCTGTTCTTCCAGCATGACAGCCAGTTGGCCAACCGCACTTGAGGAGTGAGTATCTGCCGGCGTGATGTCTCCGACTTTGTCACCGCCGAAAACTTCGAGAACCTCTTTTCCGGGGACGGAGAAGCGCATTTGACCATGGTACGTCTTCTCCTCTACATCAGCCCCTGGGAATGTAGATATTACCCAGTTGCGAAGCTGTGCAGTTTCCTCGGGTGTCGTGTGCGGTGCCGTTCTGCTAATTAGATGGACGTGGAGTGCATCGCCGAACCGATGACGAAGATCATCTGTCGTGCCCAAAGCAAGCATTCGCTTTGCTAGAATTCCTGCGCGGTCTGCGAGAGCATCGGCCTCCTCCATGCTATGCGTAGTGAGGAGGAGAGATCTGCCTGGGACAATGGCCGCCAGAGTCTTCCACATGATTCGCTTGGCGGCGGCGTCCAGCCCAGAGGATGGCTCGTCGAGTAAGATCACGCTAGGAGATCCCATCAGTGCGATACCAAGACTCAATTTACGGGCATTTCCGCCGCTCAGGGCCGCCGCCATACGGTTCGAGAATGCCTGAAGACCAACGGCGTGAATGACGGTGTTGACATTGTGGTGAATATCAGGGACGCCTCGGATGCGAGCGTAAAACTCTAGATGTTCCCGGACTGTCATCAGATCCAACGCATCGTGCTGAGGGCAGACACCAAGATGAGATCGAGCAGCAGGCAAGTTGTGAATAACAGATTGATCTTCGACGAGGATCTCACCACCGTTCCGACTTGGCTTGAGGTCACCGCGGATGAGTGAAATGGTAGTTGACTTGCCAGCGCCGTTGGGCCCTAAAAGGGCAAAGACCTGAGACCGCTTGAGCCCGAACGTTACGTTATCGACCGCTGTATTCTTGCCAAAACTCTTGGTAAGATGAATCACCCGAAGACCGTCGTCGCTACCCGATGTTGTGGTGACTCTTTCCAGTTCGTTTGAAACTTCCTCATCGGCGACGCTGCCATCATCCGATGGCCCGTCATACTTTCGCTGCCAAAGTCGCCGAACTGAAGAGCCAACGGAGCCGCTATCAGCCCATAGCAGAAGCGCGAACAGAAGGATTGACTGCAGAACCAAGTACAAGATTGGCCCGCCGTATTGAAGAATGCCACCAGGGTACGCCGCTAGTTGTCGTCCATCGCAGGCTGTTGAGAATAAGTTCAGAACCAGGAACATAGCCCGGACTACAGAACCAATAGGTGCAAAAGCCGAGATGACGAAGTGAGCAACGAGAATGTTCCGATCGACTTTGGGAACTGGGGAATAGGTGATGGTGCACATGTAGGCTATTAAGTAGACCAAAAACAGAACCGCCTGACCAGCAGCTACCCAGGCATAAGTAGACAGTTGCGTCTTGCACCATAGGGATATAACATAGGCCAGTAGAATCGCAGTCAGTCCGTAGAGCATGAAGACAAGAAAGATGTAGCCTATGTGGTACCAGATACCGGACGAAACAGCCCAGATTATCGTAACCAAAGCTGTTGACGCGAGAACGATGATGAAGTCGAACGCCAAGTAAGCCGCCCACAAGGGCAGAACTCGAACTCCGTTGCTGTACTGTAAGGCACGAACCTGTCGTCGACGCTCCAGACTTGGGTATAGGGCGAAGAAGCCTGGGTAGCATGCAAGTGCGATCCCGGTATATACGAGGAACTGTAGCGAGTTGCCATCGTTGGGCTGCCAAGGCGTAGCGAAGGGTGCCCATGCCATCATGACAGTAACATTGCTAAGGAGCATATTCAAGATGTTCTGGCTCAAAATAGGGTTCAGTAAACCGTTGTAGTTCGACATGTATGCAATGGTGGGCACCGTGGAGTCGTCTCCTAGCCAGATACCGCCAGGAACAGTCTCGACCCGCCGTGCAACCACAGTGTCTTGGAAGGCTTTGAAGCTGTCCGTGAAAGTGGCGTTCTCGGCGAGTAGTTGCCTTGCGAAGTCGGTTCCAGTCCCAGAGGTCGATCCGTTGCCAGAGTTGCCGGCGGCAGCGTTGAATACTGGTAGAAGAACGTTGGCGGCAGTGTTGAGGTCAAATCGTGAATTGGGCCCGAGGACTAGTTTCCATGTAAAATCTGTCAGACTGAACCCTTGCGTCTGATCAAGCGAGCGCTCTTCAGATGGAGCGCAACCACTTTGTGTTTGGCCTTTGATGAACAGGGTGACGAGGCCAGCGGCTGCAACGGGTAAGACAAACGCTGCAAGGTAGGGAATCCAATTTGTCTTCAAGATTGTCGTTCGTTTCCGGAAAAGTATAGCAGCCTGCCGCATGTATCCAATTTGCTGACCGCTCAGGAGTTGAAGTCCAGCTTGAGGAGTAGCGCCAACGTCGCCAGCTACACCCTTCTCATTCAAGTCTGAACCTGAATCAGGAATAATCTCGCTCGCCTTGGAATCGTGGATTTCCTCCGCCAATTGAAGAAAGACGTCCTCAATGGTGGGCCCGGAGAAACGGTAGTCGTGAAAGTTGTTGGCTTCCAAAGTGCGAATCACCTGTGCGGCAAGTGAAGAAGATGGGGCGATATAGCTTATCAGGTCGAAGTGTATCTTCTTCTGGACCCCTTCGATGTCGGGTGTGTTGCCCATACCTGTCTCCTTGGTCACATGGACTCGGTAACCGCCACCTAGGCGATCTTTCAACTCAACCGAAGAGCCATCGGCACGTAGCGTGCCCTTGGAGAGAATAGCGATGTGGTCGGCCAGGAGATCAGCCTCGTCGAGAAAGTGTGTTGTGAGGATTATCGTCCGTCTTCCGCGCTCAGCTAGTAGAATATCCCAAATCTTGCGTCGCGACAGAGGGTCGATGCCACTCGAGACCTCATCGACACAGCAAACCGCGCTTCCTCCTGTAAGCATCATGCCCAGTTGAAGCTTGCGCTTCTGGCCACCTGAAAGCGATTTCGACACAGCTTTTGCCTTCGTCTCCAAATCAACAGACCTGATTAGGTCTTGAATTTCCTGCTTGCTTGCACCTTTGCCAGGGGACTTGAGCCTGTTGAATATCTCAATATGCTGCTCCACGGTCAGGTCATCCCACATGACATTCTTCTGCGGGGCAATTCCCAGTCCACCGGTACCGTCAATAGTGATGGTGCCGCCTGTGAGTTTGCTTGTGCCAGCAATAGAGTCCAACGTTGTGGACTTTCCGCTACCGTTCGCACCAAGCAAGCAGAGGATTTGTCCTCTCCGGACATCCAACGTTAGACCGTCGACTGCGCGAACGGACTCTCGTGGCTTTGAGATGAAGGAAAACAAACGTCGGATCGGAGAAGAGCTGTAGACCTTGGTGAAGCCTTGCAAGCGCACAGCCGGCTCGTCGGTGTTGGAATGAGCTTGAGCACGGTTGAACACAATTGTTCTGCCTTTGGTAGTAGTGCCGTGTAAGGAGGACTCGATGACAGCGCCGAGCAAAGGGTACACAAAAATCTGGATAATCAAGAAAACCCAGAGAATGATGCCGGAAATATCCCACGGGCTCTTGGGAGCGACCTTGGATAGGTCGGCTGGGAGGTCTTCTCGCTCCCAACGTGCCATCCAAGTAATGAAGTACACGTAGTTGCATGGCGTGAAGAGAAAGGCGAGAACACCAACGGCAGCGGTGCTGGGGTAGCTAATGGACTGTGCGAGGATTCCAAGAAGTATGATAGCGAGTACGGCCGCGATGCCACTGATCTGAGCCTTCTTGAAGAGTGAAGATGCCAGAATAGAGAGGGACGCCATGGCTATGCCGTTCAAGACATGATATACAAGCACGATGCCAACGTTGGTACGAGCAAAGACGCCGGCACGTAGCACCAATGATCCTATAATCCAGCCCGGAAGGTAGACGACGGTGAAAGCGGCGTGGTAGGAAATGATTCGGGCAGCCTGACTGAACCATCTGTGCTTGACGGGCATCATAGCATCCACGAGGCGGATCATGCCACTCTCGCGCTCGGTCGCAATGAAGCCCGTAAGGTGATAGGTGATGAAGAGAACGCTGGTCATGAAAGCAACACCCATCCAGTTCGTGATGGCACTTTGATAATTAATCCTGACGCGGACGGCACGCTCTTCTTGAGTCAGGCTGGTGAAAGGATATTCGTCGACAGTGCCGGGCAGAGGGCCTTGCTGGACAGAAGTTGAGGCAGAACCGGAAGCGGCCTGGACGGAAGCAATTGCCTCATCGACGGCTCTCTGTAGTGGCAGCAGGTAGATCTGGGCATCATTTTTGTCCGAGTCGACGTCAATGACTATGCTTCGCAAGGCCCCGTCGCTGCGAAGGGTGTAGTTCCAGTAGTCTCCGGGTCCCTCTGAAGGCGATGACTGGAAGACAACGGCTCCGTAGCAATTGGAGACGCCGCGAAGGTTGGTAGGACAGTC